AAAAAAAAAAAAAGAAAGGAGGGCCACTTTTGTTTTTGATATAAAGAACCTCTCTATTTATATGCACTCCTCAAAAAGCATTCTATTCCGTGAGGGGGCTGGGAGAAAGAGAGAGAGAAATTAGGTATTAAAGCCACAAAAAGTTGAAAAATGCATCTCCCCTCCTCCACTCTTGCATGGCTCCCAAAGCCTATCTTTCTTTCATTTCCAAATGACACAAGTATATAGAAAGTATATACACAAGTATATAGAAAGACACAAGTGTGCATAGATCAGAAGTTATGACCCAGAAAAAGCAGAATTAGAAAGCGACTCAATCTCATGAGCATGTTAGCATGGTGGTACATCTAAATTTAAGCCTTTGGTGAGAGAAGGTCATGCTGGGTCAATCCCCTCAGGCAAACATGTTCCAGCCAAGCACACCTCACATCTGAGTTGATATTCCTTTTTGAATATCAGCGAGGAAAAGGTCCAGTCCAGACTCATGCCAGTTTATGAAACTGCCTGTGGCTTCTTCTTCCTTTTCCTCTGTGTAACTCCTTAGGACTGTACAGGAGGGATGCACAGTACATTATCAGAGATACTGCCAATGGTATGAGTGGAAACATGGTGGCCTCACTCCTTCCTGGCAGAGCCTAGTGTTTGAGCCTTCCAGTACCAAAACCAATTGGAAGTCACCACAACTGAGAATGAAACTCCCAAGCAGCAGTCTTAGCTTCTAAAGTAAATTTAAAACTAAGCCTATGGGATTCCTATTTAAATAGGCAGCCAACCTGGGCTTACAGATTCTGAATTTCTCTCTCTCTCTCTCTTTCTCTCTCTCTCTCTGTAGCAAAGTTTGATTAAAGGTAGGAAAAGAAACAAGCTCTCCAGAGTGAGTTTGGGCCAAATAAAAGTGGGAAAAGAAATATACCCTACAGTATGAGGGTGGGCACCATGCAAGAGGAAACGCAGTGGCCTAGATTCTGAATTTCTTAGTATAATCTTAATTCTCTAGCTACTTACCACAGTGGTTCCCCTCACAGACACAGGAGGTTCTTCCTGGCCATCACACCTGTGGACAGAATTTGAAATAATTTCTTTGAAGAGCTTGACTTTTACCCAGAGGAATATCAACAGCACTTTTATTTTTCATGTCTTGATAAGATATATTTCTAATGTTTTGTTAGAAAGACATTTCTTGGTTAGTGCATTGTTGGACAAAATTTCAGAAGCCATTTCCTATGATGGCTTAGAATAATATTTTAAATCTTTGCCACTCAGGCAGCCAAGAAGAATTCTGTAAGAGTGGATTTGTATTTGAACACAGCATAAAAACCTAATAACAACATAATTACATGTGTTGAGTGTTTACTATGTGATAGGCACTGTTCTCATGCTCTCCTGCCAGGTAACTCTTTGATACTTTGTTCCTAATAAGGTGGATATTATGTCTGCTCCCATTTTATAGATAAGACAATGGAGGCATATGAAAATTAAAATACACAGTGTGTTAGTTACTTTTCTCTCCTTGCTGAGACAAAATACCTGACATCCAAAGTTGAAGGGGAAGGGGTTTATTTGGCTGACAGTTAGTAGAGGTTTCAGTTCATAGTCGGCAGGCTCCAAGACAGGGATGGCAAACAGACAACACAGGGGAGAAGCAACATGGCACACACAAGGTAGCAAAGGCAACAAGGGAGTTTAACAGGATCTTTCTGCTTCTTTTATCTTATTCAGGTTACCAGGATTAGAGTGATACCAAACTAATCACTAACAAGTAAGTGGTTTAGTAATCACAGGCCCTTAACTCCAGCATCACACATTCCAGATTCAGCTACCTCTGAAAAAGAAAGTCCTACCTCATCCGAATGAGGCTTTGAGGGGACATCTAAACACAAACCATAATGGACAGTTTAAGGAACACAATTAGTAGATGGCGTAGAACTTGGGCAGAGGCTACCTGAATCCACAACCCTCCTTCACCAGTATGGCACACTGACTCTTCCTGCAAACGGAAAACGTTTTCTATTTTTGTACATTTTTATTTTAAAGATCAAATAGGTCAGGACCAGTCTTAATCCATAATTGTTTAAAAAGCAAACACCATAAAATTACTTCAGGGTGATTATTTTTATAAACATGCCTGACTTGTTATGAAATTATCTTAAAGATGAACAAGTATACTTTTACTATTTATGTTGCTTCTCGAAAATTAAGTGAGAAGGTAAAAAATTTATAAGACCTAAACCCAAAATGGAGATAGATGTTGATCTTTTAAATCTCTGATTTTCTGCCAAGATGTACTCTGCCTGAATTCTGATTCAGGATTAATATAGATCTAGTGACTCAGAGCTCTTTATGAAATCAGATCATTTCCATCGAAGAACAGCAAGGGGAATAAAGTATGCAACAAATTGGGACTCTAGGTTGGAGCAGTCAAAAGAGCCAAGGGACAGCTGTTCTTCTTTTACACCCCTAGAAGCTTTGGGATTCATGAAAGCATAAAATCTGGAGGCCAAATAATTTTACATCTTAAAGATATCCACATATATTTGGTAGTTTGGCTCAGATTTTTTAAATTTCTTTTTTTGAGACAGGGTCTTGCTATGTAGCTCAGGCTAGCCTTGAACTCACAGCCATCTTCTGCCTCAGCCTGCCAAGTGCTGGGATTACAGGGAGGCACCACCATGCCTGGCTCAGTTTAGCTCAGATTTTAAACAAAAATTTAAATCAATACTATGGATTTTTTCACATTACTATGAAGTGCTAGCTCTATTAATAATATCTGGAAGTTAAATACAGGCTGAATATTCCTTGCCAGAAAAGCTTGGAACCAAAGGTGCTCTGAATTTCAGGTTTTTTGGTTTTTTTAAAAAATTAGAATATGGCCATAAAACTAATGAGACATCATGGGGATGGGACCCAGATCTAGACAAGAAGTTCATTCATTCATCATATACATATAATCTGAAGGAAATTTTACACAACATTTTTAGTGTCCCTGCCTTTTGAGAAGTCAGATACAGAAGTTTCCATTTGTAGGGTCATGTCAGCACTCAAAATTTTGGATCTTGGAGCATTATGGATTTTGGTTTTGGGGATAGTGATGCTCGTATTTTTATTCCTCTTCATGAATATTAAGTCTGGAGTCCTCATACATACATATGGACTACTTTGAGCTTCTTAGAGGAAACAAATATGACTGAGGTAGGGACTGATTTTCTGAGAGTTTTTAATAATAGGAAAGATTAGATACCTACAGAGACAAAATACAAGCCAAGATTTGATAAAGTCAGGAGAGAGATATAAGTAAGATGCACTGAAAATGCAGAGGGGAAAGCACTTCTGAGGATAAGCAGGGAAGGCAAAAGGGAGAAGGTAGCAGAGAACTGGTACAGAGGCTAAAGAACAGCATGAGCAAAGGGTTGGAGATAGAAGCTTCACAAGGATGGTGGGAAACAGCAAGTGAGGCAATTTGCCCGGAGCCAAGAGTATATGCCAGGTTGTGCAGATTCTGTTCAGAACCCTGGGAGGCTGCAGTCCTCACAGCACATCCCCACAGCCCAACTCTCACCAGCTCAGCAGGCCCCCAATCTGATCTGCAGTAAGGGCAGCAGGGGCAAGTTTCTGAGAATGGCAGGTGAGTGGAAGATGCAGCTAAAGGACTAGACAATGCCTGAAACACAGTTGGTACAGAGGACCACCAAGTGCAAGGGTATGCAGTGAGTGGAGGGGTGCACACTCACCTGAGGGTGTGCATGGCTGTATACCACTGTGGACTTTGATAGGAGTGGATAGGACTCAGGTGCCTTGGAAGCCCAGAGACTCTGCACCCAGTCCAGGCCCTCCATAAGCTAATTTATGTTTCTGATGCTAATACTTCTGCTTGCAGAATGAATGAAAGCATTAGTGGTATCATGAAGGTTATACTGGTAAAAACTCCCAAGACTTGGCCTTTTAAATGGTTACAAAGATGCCTCATCTGTATTTACTCCTAAGTTCCATTACTGCCATGTTTTAGAGATCTCTAACAAATATCTCCACTTCTCCGCCTTCAATTTATCTTCCAGACTCCCATCCTTCACACAACTAATAGAAGATCTGTGTAACATGCAAATTAGAGCTTTTCAATCCTCTGCCTAAAAATCTTACAAGGAAGTATATAAAATCTTATCAGGACATAAGGCTTTTATCTCGTGAGCCCTCATCCAACCTCATTTCCACACACTTCATTCCTTAGAGGTCTGTACTCTAGACTTCTCAAGTTAATTCTGTCTCCATCATTCTCTCTTCTTTCCATAATCTTTGCAGATACCATTCAGAACTTCCCATGTAATATAGTAGGATAGGGTTTAAGAATATTCTTTTCTAACCAGAATCCTGGGTAATTTTCCCCAAGTGTTGGTGGAATACATTTTTCCACCAAGAAGTTCCATGTGGATGACCACAAACAATTTCGATCTTTCAAGTCTGAAATGGACTCAACATCTTCCTTCTATCTCACTCCTTCCAATCCAGTCAACAGATCCTATTGACTCAACCCAGAAATCCCTCTCAAATCCATCCTCATCGCCACATCTCCCTACCTTTACCCTAGCTAAGACTTTTATCATCTTGTCCTTTTGACTGCAATAGTCCCCAACTGTCCTTCAATTTCCACTTTTGTCCCAATCCAATCCATTCTCTAAACTTTAGCCAGAATGATCAGTACAATCAGAATTATGCCACTTTCCTACAGACTTCTGCATGCTCTTGGGTGAACATTGAAATTCTTTTGTGCATTCTTAAGCCCCTCCATGATCTAATCCCTGCATACTTTCCTGCCTCAAATCTCACTTTCCTATGTCTCATCTGCCAGAGGGAATTTGATAGACATCTGAGTTTCTGCATATATTGTTTCTTGGCCTGAAACACTTTCTTACCAGCTCTTTGCCTGGATAACTGTCTCATGCTTGAAGAATCATTATAAATGTCATTTTCTCCAGGAGACTTACCAGGACTTGGTCTAAGATATAGACACTTCATATGAGTCCCCATGGCATGCAGATCTTCTTCATTGCAGTATTATTCTCTCATGCTTCTCTATGTCCTTTTTGGTGCCCACATAAGACTGAAGCCAGACTGAAGGCAAGGCCTGTTTTGTCCTTGTGCTTCTTGTGTATTCTTATGCAGTTTTGTTGGTTAAATGAATTATTCTCATCACATCTGTTCTTCCTGTGAACTTATGATTATTCACCTACTTTCCCAAGACAGGGTGGAAGAAGGTTCTTCTCCTATCCTTTTTCTTCCTCATTCATCATATCCAATTGCTAGGTTCTTGTGATTCAGCATTCTAATTTTGCACAAATCTCTCTTTTTTTTCAGTACTGGGAACTGAATCCAGGGCCTTTGAATTGTACTACATTCCCAGTCTGGCCCTCTTTAAATTTCTTATTTTGAGACAGGGTCTTGGTAAGTTGCTGTGTTGCCCAGGCTGGACTGGAACTTGCAATCTTCCTGCTTTAGCTTGCCATACTTCTGGGATTACAGGCATGTGCCATCATGCTTGGCTCTATGTGCACATTTTTGTCTTCCCTATCTCAGCAGCCTCTTACCTGGTCTTTCTGACTTAAATTTTGCTCCCTCAAATCTTCCTGGGCTAAAGATGGAGAGCAGGTCTTCAGTCTCAGCACTGTTGACATTTCTTTCTTTTTGTAGGCATCTGTTCTGTGCATTGTAGGATGTTATAAGTATTTCTGGCCTCTATCCCCACTTCATTTGTGAAAAACAAAAACATTTTAAAACATTGTCGAATGTCCTTTAGGGCACAAAATTGCCCCTGATTGAAAACCAATGAGTTGAAGTTATCTTTCTAAAATGAAAATCTGATTATGTCACTTTTCTATTGAAAAATCAACAATGAAAACACACACACACACACACACACACACACACACACAGAGAGAGAGAGAGAGAGAGAGAGAGAGAGAGAGAGAGAGAGAGAGAGAGAATCAAGGAGAAATATATGATCTGGTTTTGAACTTTCCAAAATGGAATTTGACTTTCTGCTTGCGTGAGGGAGGCTGCAGCTGTTCACACCCTGTGTATCAGGCAAATTGGGGCATGCCTGAAGAGCAGCTAGGTGGATCACCAAAGTGCTCTGCTCTTTGCATATGAAGGGAAGAAATCATTTTAAAGGAACAGGATATGGTGCATGCATACTCTTACTCCAAGATGGTAGTTGTCACTCTTGTCACAACTATGTAGTGAGAAACACCATATGTTAAGCCTTGTGATAATCCTCAAAGGAAATAGGACTTTAAGTTTAATTGTACATGCTATTCATGTGCCTTATGAATTCGTTTTCTTGTACTTTCACTTTGCCTAGGCTGGGGACTATCACAAGGGAAGGAGTTAAGGAAAGAGATATACATCCCTAAAATTACCATTAACAACCAGTGGCATGTGGCTGCACAGCTTGGAGAAGGTGTGCATATCAGGGTGAATGGCTCCCTTGAGGGAGAGGCTTCCCAGTGGAGCATGTTGGAACACAGGCCAGAGAACAGCAAGGCACATCACCTCTTTGTGGTGGGAGGAGGGCAACCCTGGAATAACTAGGGCTTGGACCCAGAAAGGAAATATGCAGTTCTACTTCGCAGCCACAAAGATTGCATCTATAAGCTCATGCTGTACATTACTGGATATTTTCTGAACTACAGGGAGGGAATGTGTGAGACATAAATTACTGAAATTCAGTGGTGGAGCCATAGGTTATATCTACCAGCTAACCCATAAGATGATGTGAGGAAACATCACCTACAGTAAAATGTTAGGGAGGGAAGAAAGCTAGAGGCCATATATGTAGACTTTTCTTGAGGTTTTTTTGGTGAGCAATACAAAAAACACAAATGGAAAATAGTTTTCTTGTTTCCTGGAGTTTGGGTCAGGCCAATCATTCACAAATAGCATTAAACCCTTAATGGGATAATTTGAGTATAGTATAAGGATGGGAGGAGGAAGAAATCATGCGTGAATCTTTTTGCCTTTTAATAAATTCACAAGGTCATGGTATTCCCATGGGTTTTTATCTATTGAAAGCAGGAAATCAAAGCTTCAGGATACTATATACTATAATTTCCCCATATCCTAGGGAAGGGAGACACATTCCAAGATCCCGTTGGATGCCAGAAACCACGAGTAAAACCAAAACCTTATATATTATGTTTTTCTCTAAACATACATACCTATGACAGTTTAATTTATAAATTAGGCACAGCAAGAGATTAACAACACCAACTAATAATAAAATAGAAAAATTCACCCTTCCACCAAGTAAAATATATTTAAAGATAATAAATTCTGAAAACTGCTGGACACTTGTGAAATTTACTTAATGAAATAATGAATTAGTTTCACTTCTGCATGCTGTGTTGTATGTTTCAGTTTGTTTAAAAGAGAATAACTCATAAGTATCAAAGAATATTTGCTAAACAGAATTTTGCAAGTTTTAATTTTTTTTTCCAATCTGACCTACAGCCAAAACACATAATGCAGGAACTTGCAATATGACCTTGGAAATAACTTGCACCTGGAATTAACAGGTTTCTTAACTTTTCCTAGTTTATTAATGTTAGATTATGAGTCTATATTGATCTCTGCTGTAAAGAAAATCACTTTTAATACAAATTACATTATAAATCCTAGCAATACCACAAACTGGGAATATTCTTTTCTCTCTCTCTCTTTTTTTTTTTTGGTACCGGGGATCGAACTCCGGTTCTTGCGCTTGGGGGGCAGGCGGCGGAACCACTGAGGTAAATCCCTGGCGCCAATATTCACTTCTCTTTAAAAAAATATTTTCTATGTAGGAAATACTCTTCAATTTCAAATTCCCCAAATGACAGAATTACTAATATCTTAAACATTTTTACAAAGAAAGGCAACTCACCTATTAGAAGAGTGTTTCCTGACAAGTGACTCTGGCAAGGACAGTCATGTAAATCTACATTTTGCTCAACTCTTCATGATCTCATCAGACAAAAAGAGCCCCAGGATAAAGCTGAAAGTAAAAATTCTTTCATCCACCCAAGAGAGGAAGACAGTCTTCTGCTAAGCCTGGGTGCCTCATCACACGCTCTGCCTCTTGCTTTTCGGCAACAGTGACCTCCAACACTTTTTATTTAACACTGCAATGCACTAATGGTGTGACGGCACGCAGAATGCATCACGTGCCAAGCCAACACCTTGAGAGGGTGGGAAGCTTTTGCAACCGGGAAGACAGGGAAGACTTGAGGAAAATATTTAGTAATCAGCTCAAACACCCATCAGCATAGTCTTGCTTGTTTTTCTCAAAGCAATCTGACATTATGAGTTCAGGTAAACTGATTATGTGGTTCTAAACCAGGAACCATCTGGTACCATGCCTCCAGTGTTCCAAAAACTTTCTCCACTTCAACTTATATTTAAATTCTGGACAACCACATGGGAATGGCTGCTGTCAATATTTCTGGTAACCAACATGCTTTTTCTTCTATGTTTTAGAATTCTGTTTTTTTCTACTCTTTTTCTTATATTTACTTTCATCTGGTCCAAATCCAACTCCTTTATGACCAAGGACACACATATTCCCTAAAGGTGTAGCTTTGATTTAAATGGATCTTTCCAGCTCAAGAAGAGACTATGCTTTCTCTTGGAGCTGTGGAACAATTGCTAATAACTATTTCCCAATACTTAACCCATTATGCACCAAGTACATCTGTAGCTGGTTAAAATTTGGGAGTTGAGGTGAATCAAGTTTCAGTTTCCCAAGAACTTTGCCACTATGCGAGCTAAGCCCTGTTTCCTTTGTTACTGTCTGAATTGAAATTCTAAGAAGAAACATAAAGCATTCTGAACACAAAACTGGCAATCGGCCTCTACTGTCAGATGACAAAGAAGCTGTCACATGATCTGAATTTAACTCACCCTTTCTGTCCCAGTGATTGAAGCTTTAAAGAGTCTCTCCCAGGTTTTCTGAATGAAAACAGGGAAGTGAATGATGATCTGAAGCTCAGCTGAGAAGGAACAGATGTTGGGGTTTTTCGATTAGTTACATTATTAGATCTTGATGTTTGTAATTCCATAGGATCTAAAAAAAAATTGTAAAATTTTTGCATCATTAAGATTTTTCCAGATAAACATACTTGAAAGAATGAACCTTGGCTCTCGCTTCCCTCTCTCCCTCTGTGCAGTCCAGAAACAGAAGACGTATCCACCCAGAAGATCTTGAGAAGGAAGGGCAGACAAAGCTCCCTATCAGAATCCTGTGCCCCTGATGGGTCTGCTGAGCCGAGGAAATCCCCACTGGTGTCCATACTGTATCTTTCAGTGTGTACCATGGATCATAATTCTGTAGATGATCCCTTGCTTCCCACCAGCTGTCTCCCCATGGATGTCCAACACACATGCAAGCCAGCCAGGGGACCCAGGCAATTCTCACCTTGCTGAACCAACCTATCTTTCAGAAATTTTTATTTCTACCACTTTAAAACCATGGGGACCAGTACTATGTAACTCTTTTATGTCAAAGAAAGTAAAGGAAATTAAACAATTTACAGGATTCTTTCTTCCTTCCCAAAATCTATCTCAGTATATATGTATTTATAATATAGATGGTTTATATAAGATAATACTTATAACACATATGTATTATATTTGTATAGGTAACTTTGTTTTTTGTCTTTATTTTTCTGTTATGCAAAAATAAAATTTCATAACAAAATAATAATAGTTAATACACTGTATTGTTATCTTAAAAGTAGTTACTTAAGAGTACAATACATAAACTAAAAAGATTCTTACAAAAGAAACAGATAATAACACAAAACTTTCTTTAATATATGAGTACTAAAAATTTGAAGACACTGTCCACATATACAAAGATCATAATACATATTATACTTAGATATGCTGATTTTATAAATGGTAAATGAATTCAAAGTGAGGGCCAAGTCATTATTGCATATTAGGGCTAATCTAAAAATCTGAACTCTGAATCTTTTTAGATAGTCTAGTATGGTAGTTGCACGATATTGTTAATATAATAAATTTAGAAATATTGTTAGATGTTTCATGATATTACTACTGTTAGTAACATATGCAAAAACATGACTATCAAAAAAGTTACTGTATTGTTTGCATAGTTTATAATTTCTCATGTACTTTGTTGTTTTCACAATGTTCCTGTGAAAGCAGGGTTTGCCATCCTTATAGATTAAAATAATTGGTGAAGTGAAGTAATATGCTGATAGTCACACAGTGAGAATGTCCATAGAAGGCATTTATTAAAACTCATCTATGGGGTTTACCAAAGCTCCAGAAGGACAGCAACTCCTTCCACATTTACTGTCCCCCTTCTGCACCCCTCTTCTCTGCTTCCCCCTCCTTTTTCATCACCATGTCACTTAAGTGTTTCAAATTACTATGCTGCAGGTTAATATTTCATACACATTGTTTTACTGAATTCTCAGAACCATGCTATGTGGTGGGTATTATATTTTATTTAGAGATTAGAAAATTGAGGTTTATAGAGAATCAGTAACGTGAAAAGACTCAGGCATAGAAACCAAATGGCAATATGAAACCAGGCCTTTTTTCTGCTACCAATTTTACATTTTTAAACACTATTTTATTTTTCCTGATTCTAAAAACATACCCCCTAAGAGATTATTTCAGTAAAATTTCATTTCACTCTTTGAGGTGCATATTATGTTATAAAATTTTTGTGCCTTATAATTGTCCTAAATATGGATTGTTTAAACTAGAGACCCCCTGAATCATTATCTACCCGGGTATTCCACAAGTTAAAGAAAAAAATTTTAAATCTAAATTAAATTTTCTCACCCTTTTTTGCCATCTCCTTCCTTAGCCTGTACATCAGTGGTTGTTTGAACATTTGACTAACATCTGTTTCATTGCAAAACTTTTTTCTTTGAATTTCTTCAAACCATTCACCAGTCACTCCTTGAAGCCATCTGATATCCCTCTTTGTCTTCTGAAGTTTGCTGAAATAAAACAAAAGTATCAATGCATTCTTCAAATTCATTCCTATCTAGTACAAGCTCATGAGAGTGGCTAAACTTTACTTGATGGAAGAACAGCATAAACAGCATAAACTAGGAAAAAATTGGCTTCAGTCAGAATTTCCTTTTAACCACTGTGTATATATTTTAGGTGGATTCTGTATACAATAATAACCTAAAACTTTTTGCCAGTAGTTAAAATAATCATCAAGTCAATGACAACAAACCCAGTTGGGCAATGTACTAAACCTGACCTAATAATGCAACTAAATGATAGATGTTCTAATGACATGTAGAAACCAGAGTATTCTTTGGATTACTCATTCATTAATCCATTAAATGTTTACTGAATGAGTACTGTTCATCAATTAAATGTTTATTTAGGCCCCATGCAGACAGAATTGAACAGTGGATACAAGAGTTGGGATTTTTACTTATCTACCCAGTGGTCAAAGATAAAAGCTAACATGCAGAAAAGACATTGTTGCATGTAATGGTCTTAGATAATGGAGTTCTTTAAACAAAGACACAAAAGCTCATGAATGATTGCAAAGTTAAGGCTTACGTTATATGGGTCAGTGAAATTTGAGATCCACAGGAAAGGCCATCCAGAACACAAGTGTGTCCATCTGACACTTTCAGAATACCAGGCCTGAAACCCTGCCGTGCCTTTTTTTCTCCTTTTCTTTTACTTGTTCCTACTTAGGCCTCTCTCAGATGAAATGCTGCTTTAAGTCCTCAATTAACTCAACCAACTGTGATTTATTATTTTTTTCAAAGTAGATAATTTTGCTCAATTTCAAGAGGAAATCCAGAACTGTTTGGAAATGAGAGGTGCATCACCCAGAAGGACATGTCCCTGGATGGAGGCAAAAGAGCAGAAAGGGATGTTTAAAGAACATGATAACAAGGTGAGGCTGGGGGTAACATACAGTGGTTGCTTTCTTATAGTACTGATGAAAACACTAAGCTTGCTCAGTTCTGATGGCTTACTTAGCAGATATAATTCTTTATCTAGGGTCTGCTGTAAAGCTCAAGTGTTAGGCTCTTTGTATTGCAAGGAAAATGGTAAGCAAACTGTCTGCAGCATGGCCACTCTAGGGTTAAAGGCAATGAACTGAGATGGCTATAACTCATCTTCCTGCCTGGGGCTATGATACTTCTGTTTTCATGAAAATATTCAAGAAGGAAGCCAGAGGTCATCCTGCCCAGACATGTATTTCAAAAAGCATTAGGCAGCAATCAGTATGTTCAGCCTACAGAATCTGCACTGGTGCCTCCTCCTTTGCCATGGCCACCCTCTGACACATGGCCACTTCTGTCTATTTTACATCCCTTACTAACAGAACAAAGAGAACCCTGGTATCTACTTCTAACTGACCAAATAAAGGGGAGTCAGAGTCTTGTGTCCCTAATGTTTCTCCTGAGTAGGGGAAATTCTCACAAACAACAGGGTATCTTGGGGGATGGACTGGAGACCTGTCAGGATTATTTGTAAGGTCTAGGAGAAAGAAGAGTTTGCTTGTTCCAGGATGAGGGTGGTGAACCTAAGAACAGTAGAAAAAGTTCAGCACAATTTAGAGAATAAAAATGACTCTCAAGTGTCCACTGTTTTGAAGTGACTTTAGGATTAAGGGCAGAAGAGGACTCTTAGATTTCTGATTTACCTAAGTTCATAAATTATGTCATTTATAGAGCAGCTAATAAGTTAGAACCAGTATCACCTCACTAACTAATATCCCACATTTGTGCATGACCTCTACTCTCTGGGAAACCTCGCTAATTGTTAACTCCCCAGAAAGTCAATATCCCCCACCTCACTGCTTCTCCAAGTATCCATCTTATTTCAGAAGGCAGTCAAGCTACCTGACTTAGGAACACTCAATACAAACATAAGTTTTTTTCCTTACAGGCTTGATGTAACATGGACTCTCTATTAAAAATAATCACAGCTCACTAACTCTACATCAACCACGCATTCTATGCTTGCATACATATCCATTATTACCTGTTTCTTTGTCATCTTGTGGCCAGTAAAGTCAGAAATCTGTATTTTCCTGTGAATGCTTATACACTGAATTCTATTCCAGGAAATATATCTTATAGAAATAAGTATTCCCCAAGTACACAAATTTAAAAGAACATCACATAGTTGCTAACCATAATTGTGCAGATAATATGCAGAATCCTGGGAAAAATATGCATGATATAACATGAAACAGGAAAAACAAAATTCAGCGTTGTATCTGTAACAGCTATGTAAAATGATGTAATGACATGGCAACACTAGAGAATAAGGAAAACATGTGAAACAATTAAAAACAGTCATTTTTAAGTTTAGCTTTTTTGTTACATATGTCCTATAATACACAGAGCTATTTCTTGTTTAATTGTGAATTATTTATATTGTAATTTTTAATATTAATATTATTTATAGAGGAAAAAACTGACTTTTACAATCCTAATACAACCACCACTATGTTTTCATTTTAATTTTTCTCGTGTATTTTTTATGTAGTTATGATAAAATTTATTCAGTACACATTGGTGGAAGGCCTCCTATGGTTCAGATACTGGAAACAAGTGAGCCAGGAAGACATGGGTCTACCCTAGTCTAATAGGAGAAAGCAACATGAATCCAATAACAATACAGATGTTAGGTAACCAATACAGTAAGTCCCTGACTTATGAATATTTGAATTTTGAACTTTCAGATAGGAACAGACCTCACATTAGGAACATTTGTAGATGGGAACAAATTGCGGAAGTAGCTCACATGTCTGCTAGACATTGTCACAGTTGTGCTGTTGTGTGCTTACTGTACAGTGTGATTGTGTACAGTAGTACAGTACAACCAGGGACTTACTATATTTGTGTGTGTGTGTTTGGTTTTTTATGCTTTACATCATATATTTGTGTCAAAGGTGTATAAGACTCACTTTGTTGAACTTATGAACGAACCTGACTTACAAATGTTCTCCCCGGGTCGGGGATTTAGCTCAGTGGTTTCGCCACCTGCTACGCAAGTGCAAGGACCCGAGTTCGATCCCCGGTACCAAAAAAACAAAAAACAAAAAACAAAAAACACAAATGTTCTCCCGGAATGGAACTCATTCATAAGTCAGGGACTTACTGTAGCGCTGTGTGATTTATTCATTCAACACACATTTGAATTCTGGGTAAAAAGTAATGAGCAAGTTAAGTCCTTGCTCTCATGGAATTTAAATTCTTCTTGGGTGGGAGTGTGGATGTGTGTAAGGGAAGCAATAAACAAAAAAGTAAACAGGCGCTATGAAAGCCTGTAAGAATCGGATCTGGTCTGAAGCAGCAGTGAAGATTCCTTGAGAACTGCACTTGCCTTGCAAGTGCAAGGTTGTGAGTTCGATTGCTGGTAAAACAAAAAAAAGATTCCTTGAGAAGATGACAGGGGTGGAAGGATGAAAGATGAAGAATTAGGCAAAAGGTAGTAAACAGGCGATCCCTGGAGAGAGCTTCCTGGGCAAAGAATATCAGCTGTAGAGCAACAGCCGTGTGTCTGGAGTGTGGCAGTGGAGAGGAAGACTAACCACAGGGAAGAGGAAAGAGGCAGCTGCTCAACTACACAGCATCAGAGGTCAGGTGAAGTGGTTTGGTGTTTGTCGTGAAGCAGTTAGAAAGCATTAGAGGTGTGACACATCAGATTGGCATTTTTGGTTTTTTTTTTTTTTTTTTTTTTTTGGTACCGGCGATCGAACTCGGGTCCTTTCGCTTGCGAGGCAGGCGGCGCAGATTGGCATTTTTAATGGATCATCCTAACTACAAGTAGAGAGTAGATTCCACTGGGGCACAGGAGACCAGTCAGGATTACTTGTAGGGTCTACGAAAGAGAAGTGTTTACTTGGACCAGGATGATGGTGGTGAAGATGGAGAAAAGTAGAAAGTCTTCAGAATGACTTATTATCCTGAGGTGTTCATTGTGATAGAGTAACTTTGGGAATCAGAGGTAGAGACATATCAAGGAAGATGGCTAGATTTCTGATTTACATGAGTGCATAGAAGATGCCATTAATGGAGATCATGCATATATAATTTTAAAATAAACATTTTATCAAAATACTTGTAACATTATTCATCTTCAGAGTAATTATTAAATATATGTGTAATATTCAAGTCAGTATGTTTTGCATCATTTATTTCCTATTCTCCCAGTGCAGGAGATTGAGATTTTTCCCTTATAAATTTTGCTGAGATGAATATCATGTATATTTTCAGAATGATTGGGTCAAAATGTCAAAGTATTTTTTGTGATTCTTTATACATACTACCAAATACTTTTCTTTCTTTTTATTTTTTGGTATTGGGGATCGAACTTGGGACCTTGTGCTTTCGAGGCAGGCAGCAGAACCACTGAGCTAAATCCTTGGGTGTACTACCAAATACTTTTCAAAAGGGTTGTACCAATATTACTCATGCTAGCAATGTGTAAGATTACCTGAGGCATCTTTGGAAGGCTAGTTATTGTTTCAAGTATATTTATTTTCCTAATTTAATATTTTAATGGTACTGTGCCTATAATTGTCAGCAATTATTTTTCTTTTGAGTTTTGTTTTATTTAATAAAATATGCTACATTTCTTCGATAACTATGGAGGTTTGAACACTTTCCCATATGTTTGTTTAGTAATTATGTTTGTGGTTTGGCAATTGCATGCTTTTTTAAGTTCTAAATTTTTCATTGGAATGAAATGTATTCCATGTAAAATAGTAACAGTATTTTTCTTTTTTTTTTTTTTTTTTTTTTGGTACCAGAGATCAAACTTGGGACCTCGTGCTTGTGAGGCAGGTGGTGGAACCACTGAGCTAAATCCCTGGGCACAGTATTTTTCTTATATGTTTTAAATATTTCACCCAGGTTTTTTCCTTTTATTTTGATTAAACTTTGAATGTCAGGCCTTATAAACCTCATTCTAGTTAGGGTTAGAGGAGATAAAACATAATTAATCT